AAAGGTAACTTTCTTGTTTCAAACATTTACTCCTGCATGATTGTTTGAAGAGGACTGAGTTTTGCTGTGTGGGTTTCGGAGCCCTATTTGACTACCCAACAAGCATGACGTAGTAGTCGATTAATTGCGTGTATCATTTCAGGTTGGAGTACATCTCCGTGAGAGGTAAGGAACCAAACGTCCGCACGCACATAAGCCAGATTTGTTAAACAGATGTGCATGCAACACTCGGGTTCTGGAACAAGAGTCAAGTCCACAGAAGGATGATCAAACAGAAGGATGATCAAACAGAAGGATGATCAAACAGAAGGATGATCAAACAGAAGGATGATCAAACATAAGGATGATCAAACAGAAGGATGATCAAACAGAAGGATGATCAAACAGAAGGATGATCAAACAGAAGGATGATCAAACAGAAGGATGATCAAACAGAAGGATGAACAAATAGAAGGATGATCAAACAGAAGGATGATCAAACAGAAGGATGATCAAACAGAAGGATGATTAAACAGAAGGATGATCAAACAGAAGGATGAACAAATAGAAGGATGATCAAACAGAAGGATGATCAAACAGAAGGATGATCAAACAGAAGGATGAACAAATAGAAGGATGATCAAACAGAAGGATGATCAAACAGAAGGATGAACAAATAGAAGGATGATCAAACAGAAGGATGATCAAACAGAAGGATGATCAAACAGAAGGATGAACAAATAGAAGGATGATCAAACAGAAGGATGATCAAACAGAAGGATGATCAAACAGAAGGATGAACAAATAGAAGGATGATCAAACAGAAGGATGATCAAACAGAAGGATGATCAAACAGAAGGATGAACAAATAGAAGGATGATCAAACAGAAGGATGATCAAACAGAAGAATGATCAAACAGAAGGATGATCAAACAGAATGATGAACAAACAGAAGGATGATCAAATAGAAAAATGATCAAACAGAAGGATGATCAAACAGAAGGATGATCAAACAGAAGGATGATCAAATAGAAAAATGATCAAACAGAAGGATGATCAAACAGAAGGATGATCAAACAGAAGGATGATCAAATAGAAAAATGATCAAACAGAAGGATGATCAAACAGAAGGATGATCAAATAGAAGGATGATCAAACAGAAAAATGATCAAACAGAAGGATGATCAAATAGAAGGATGATCAAACAGAAAAATGATCAAACAGAAGGATGATCAAACAGAAGGATGATCAAACAGAAAAATGATCAAACAGAAGGGTGATCAAATAGAAGGATGATCAAACAGAAAAAAGATCAAACAGAAGGGTGATCAAATAGAAGGATGATCAAATAGAAAAATGATCAAACAGAAGGGTGATCAAATAGAAGGATGATCAAACAGAAAAATGATCAAACAGAAGGATGATCAAACAGAAGGATGATCAAACAGAAAAATGATCAAACAGAAGGGTGATCAAATAGAAGGATGATCAAACAGAAAAATGATCAAACAGAAGGGTGATCAAATAGAAGGATGATCAAATAGAAAAATGATCAAACAGAAGGGTGATCAAATAGAAGGATGATCAAACAGAAAAATGATCAAACAGAAGGGTGATCAAATAGAAGGATGATCAAACAGAAGGATGATCAAACAGAAAAATGATCAAACAGAAGGATGATCAAACAGAAGGATGATCAAACAGAAAAATGATCAAACAGAAGGGTGATCAAATAGAAAAATGATCAAACAGAAGGATGATCAAACAGAAGAATGATCAAACAGAAAAATGATCAAACAGAAGGGTGATCAAATAGAAGGATGATCAAATAGAAGGATGATTAAACAGAAGGATGAACAAACAGAAGGATGAACAAACAGAAGGATGATCAAACAGAAGGATGATCAAACAGAAAAATGATCAAACAGAAGGGTGATCAAATAGAAGGATGATCAAACAGAAGGATGATCAAACAGAAAAATGATCAAACAGAAGGATGATCAAACAGAAGGATGATCAAACAGAAAAATGATCAAACAGAAGGGTGATCAAATAGAAAAATGATCAAACAGAAGGATGATCAAACAGAAGGATGATCAAACAGAAAAATGATCAAACAGAAGGGTGATCAAATAGAAGGATGATCAAATAGAAGGATGATTAAACAGAAGGATGAACAAACAGAAGGATGATCAAACAGAAGGATGATCAAACAGAAAGATGATCAAACAGAAGGATGATCAAACAGAGAAATGATCAAACAGAAGGGTGATCAAATAGAAGGATGATCAAACAGAAAAATGATCAAACAGAAAAATGATCAAATATAAGGATGATCAAATAGAAGGATGATTAAACAGAAGGATGATCAAACAGAAGGATGATCAAACAGAAGGATGATCAAACAGAAGGATGATCAAACAGAAGGATGATCAAACAGAATGATGATCGACAAAGTTTGGCGCTGGTGTCTACAGCCGGTGAACGCGAAGAGGAAGAAGACATTATACAGAATACATTCATCACCATATGGCAGGTCCTTTGCAGAACGTCGCTCTCATCACAGTCTGTCTGAAAGAAACTCGGTCTCTCGCCAGCACTCCCACCTCATGAACTTTCACACTCAACTAGTCACTTACATACTGTGCCCATCTTCGTGTCGGTCGGCCCCTGCCCCTCCTTCCTGGTACCATGCCTTCTGCTATAGTTTTTTCCAGTCAGTCGTGGCGCTTGATATGACCAAAATATTTCAGCTTTCGAGAAAGGATGCTGTTTATTAGCCAGTCTTCCTTGTTCAAATCTTTTAAGATGTCACTTTCATTTCTCATCTTCTTTGTCCAAGATATTCTGAGAATCTTTCTATAGCATTTCAGCTCAAACGCGCCTATTCTCTTTCTTAAGGACTGGGAGATAGTCCACGACTCACATCCGTGTGTAGCCACAAGGAAGTTGCATGCTCTCAAAATTCTAATTTTGATTTCCTTGCTGGTGCTTAACCATAGACTTTTAAGGCTGTTCAATCTTTGCACTGCTATGGCCATCCTCCTTTTAATTTCTGAATACAGAATTCATTAGTGCAATGAAATTCACATGCATAAACGTCCATCGCGAGCCAGTGTGGTTTAGCAGCAAGATGCTTGCCTGCAGATCCGAAAGCTGTGGGTTCAAATCCAATCGTAGAGAAAACAAATCAACGACTTTATCTCCTAGGTAGACCCAGCCTTAAATGGTTACCAGGTAAAGTCTTGGGAAATAAAGTCGGTCGGCGTGATGTTGTCTAAATCATTCACCGAATACCGATTGGTGTATAAAATATATGTCTAACACTAAATGCCCTATACGCCTGAAAGGCGTGGAAAAGGGTGCTTTGACAAATTGTACATTTACAAAGTACATATCCAAATACACCCACAACACAACGTACATACCCAAATACACCCACAACACAACGTACATACCCAAATACACCCACAACACAACGTACATACCCAAATACACCCACAACACAACGTACATACCCAAATACACCCACAACACAACGTACATACCCAAATACACGCACAACACAACGTACATACCCAAATACACCCACAACACAACGTACATACCCAAATACACCCACAACACAACGTACATACCCAAATACACCCACAACACAACGTACATACCCAAATACACCCACAACACAACGAACATACCCAAATACACCCACAACACAACGTACATACCCAAATACACCCACAACACAACAATTATGGCGACAGAACAAATATTTCCTTTTCTTTTTCTAATGCCTTCTATCCCCCAATGGAGCATAGGATCTCTACCGACTTACATCAAGTTGTTCTATCCTTCACTATTACATGGCATCCTCGTCTCACTCTCTGGGCCACTTCTCCATGTGTGTGTGTATGTGTGTGTGTGTGTGTTTGTGTGTGTAGGTTTTTTCTGCCTTTATGACTAGGCCCTTACCACAAATACTTGTACTAACGACACAATATACATGTGTGTGTGTATATAAAAATACAATGTCCATTTTCTTTACTAGATATTCGCTTCGGCGTCTAAATAATATAATAAGTAAAATTTATCGCCAGAAACTAAAATATAACCATCTGTTGCCCCTATGGACGCAAGAAATATTGGTTGCATTTGTAAAGATTATTTCAAGAAACTTCTTTCCCGGGCAAGTCAAACAGACATCACGACTGAAAGGTTATTTGCTGGAAGTGTTGCAAATGCCACTTCTCTACTTATTCATTTTTGCCTAAGATCAGCGCCACATTCGTTCATTCATTATTCATAGCCAAGCGTTCCGCCTTGCAGGAACATCAAGAGAAAATAATCAATGGATTCTGAAAAAGGTTCAATCTTTAACCGCTGCAGTGTTCAAGAAAGACCCCTTCTTGTCTTGCCCGTTGAAGCGGTGTGGAGCTTCTGAAAAACCAGCCGTCAGTTTCGCGCCCAGACCCGCCCACGAACCAGCTCGTTAAAATCAACGCCGGGCTCCAGGTTGTGAGGTTAGACAAGGTCGCAGAAGATGGCCCAGGATTGGTTAATGTTTGAGTCTGGATGTTTTATCCGCTGTCGGAAGTGAACGAATGTACTGCAGCAAGCCCTGCAAGTCATCTCTGCCTCGGCGAAACCCGTAAAAGAAGCTATATCTGCTGGAGTTTATAGTCGCTTCCATTCTTTGCCGTCTTTCTTGAAATGATTTTGTTGGTGGTAAAAGTAATTTCATCACTGTATTGATGGTTTCAGGGGGATTTTACTACCCGGGCTATTCTCAGCGCGGTCTGGAGGATAATAGTTTCACTGCCGATCATATAGGACATCAGAGACTAGTCCCTGGCGTCGGCATCGCCCAGCCCGGCGTCAACGCTGCCAGCGTCAGCAATAATCCTAATCCTAATCCAGCCATCAACGGTAATAACAGCTTCATCAACAATCCACACGCGGCTGGTTTATCCACATCGACGGACAGCGAAACTTATTTGTTCGGAGGGGACAAGGGCTACAGTATGAGTTCGTACCTGCCCTTACGTCATACAGGGACTCACGGGGTGCCTCCGGCGCCCCGAGGCGCTGTTGGAGGCGAAGACGGCGTCATGCATGGCATGGGTGGCGTCATGGACGGCGGTGGATACATGGAACACTTTCTGAATATACCAGAGATATGTCCCACGGGCAGTTACAGAAATCCTAGGTACTATATGGGCACTTATAATGCGGAAGCTTGTCGAATGGAAGCCCTTCAACAACAGCATCGCAATCACCACGACTTAAGAATGGGATTACAGGGCGCCAGACCCTCTTTCTACCCAAATATGAACATGGGGATGCGGTTTGCAGACAGCATGGACACCCAAGTGGGTGCGAACTGTATCCCCCCTCAAAATAGGGCGGAGACGCTGTCTCCCTGCACCAAAGCAGTTGGAGTGGCGTCTGATGTGGAGCCGCCATCTTTTTACCCTTGGATGTCTATAGTAGGCGAGTATATCCTGTTGTTTTTGTGTACTATGTGTGAGAATTTGCTGTGAAATCTAACTGACTATATTCCTGTGTTTGTTAACTTGCAGGTCTAGACTAACCGACTCCTTGAGCGATAGTTATGTTTAGTCGTATAAAAATGACATGTAAAAGAGAGTTTAGCTGCGTTTTCAGGTGCACTACCGATCTACCGATTGCCGACACCCGGTGTTGCGACAAATAACGAGAAGATACTTAATATCTACTAAACACTTAGTTCTTCTATTATTAGTTAACTCGCGAAGAAATCTGTGAACTTCTTCCGTCATACATTTGTATATTCTGTTACTAACTATATTGTATTTTTACTCTCATGAGCTTCCTCTGTCATACACTTGTATATTCTGTTACTAACTATATTGTATTTTTACTCTTATCAACTTCCTCTGTCATACACTTGTATATTCTGTTACTAACTATACTGTATTTTTACTCTTATCAACTTCCTCTCTCATACACTTGTATATTCTGTTACTAACTATATTGTATTTTTACTCTTATCAACTTCCTCTGTCATACACTTGTATATTCTGTTACTAACTATATTGTATTTTTACTCTTATCAACTTCCTGTCATACATTTGTATATTCTGTTACTAACTATATTGTATATTTACTCTCATGAACTTCCTATGTCATACATTTGTATACTCTGTTACTAACTATATTGTATATGTACTCTCTCTCTCTCTCTCTCTCTCTCTCTCTCTCTCTCTCTCTCTCTTCTATACTTTTACTTGTTCTGTCAAATGTAAACTCCCTCCGATGTAAATATACGTGCTCTGTTTACATTTACTTGCTCTCTTTAATTTACCTGCTCCGTCATACATTTACTTGCTCCGTCTTGTTCCATCATACATTTACTTGCTCCGTCTTGTTCCATCATACATTTACTTGCTCCGTCTTGTTCCATCATACATTTACTTGCTCCGTCTTGTTCCATCATACATTTACTTGCTCCGTCTTGTTCCATCATACATTTACTTGCTCGGTCTTGTTCCATCATACATTTACTTGCTCCGTCTTGTTCCATCATACATTTACTTGCTCCGTCATACATTTACTTGCTCCGTCATACATTTACTTGCTCCGTCATACATTTACTTGCTCCGTCATACATTTACTTGCTTCGTCATAATTTATTTACTTGCTGTGTCATACATTTACTTGCTGTGTCGCATATTTTGTTGTTTTAAAATGTAAATACTCGCTCTGTTATTTATTACAATTTTCCTTCTTCGCTTTCCCTGGATATAAACTGCTGCGGAAAGTTCTGGTTGTTCGCCCACCTCTGAAAGTCGGTCTTGTTCCAGAACTTGAGTTGTGCGTGCACGTGTTTTATAAATGTGGCCTTTTTGTAGGCAGACTGTTGGTTACTCGCCTCTCAGGCAATGTAATTTCGACGTGCACTTTGAATGAAACACCCCTATTTAGTCTACTTTTACGACATGCTTGTTAAGGGAGAGTGGATCCCCCCCCCCCTTTTCACACCACCCCAAACATGGGGCCCCAGAATTCAATCGGTAATTTCGTTCATTTATTTACTTTTTCTATTCACTAGGTTTCACATACACCTGCTCGATGGCATAAATGTACATGATCTGTCATACATTCAAATGATCTGTCATGCATTTACTTGCTCTCTCAGATACATGTTTGCGCTTTTATCATTAACGTGTTCCATCGTTCATTTTCATGCTATCTCATGCATTTACTTTTTGTACTGTTCTGTACCATACATCTACTTGCTCTGTCATACGTTTACTTGTACTGTTCGGTCAAACATCTACTTGTTGTGCCATACATTTACTTGCTGTGCCATACATTTACTTGCTCAGTCACATATTTATTTGATCTGTCTTACTACTTGATTTGTCATACTTTCACTTGAACTGTCACATATCTACTTGCTCTGTCAAACATTTATTTTTACTGTCATATATTTACTGTCCGGTCATATGTTTACTGGCTCTACCAGTTATGCTATCATTAATTTATGTGTCTTTCATTTAATTGTCGCAACGTTTACTTGTCTTATATTTACTTTAATACATTTACTTGTCTTAAATTTACTTACTTGTCCTAATGAACTTGTCTTATATCTGCTTGTCTTACATCAACCGACTTACCTAATTACTTGTCCTACATTTACATATAATTGTCTTACATTTGTTTGTCTTACATCTACAGACTTGCCTTATAATTATTGTCCTGCATCTACTTGTCATACATCTACAGTCTTGCCTTATAATTATTGTCTTACATCTACTTGTCATACATCTACAGTCTTGCCTTATAATTATTGTCTTACATCTACTTGTCTTACATCTACAGACTTGCCTTATAATTATTGTCCTACATCTACTTGTCTTACATCTACAGTCTTGCCTTATAATTATTGTCTTACATTTACTTGTCTTACATCTACAGTCTTGCCTTATAATTATTGTCTTACATCTACTTGTCTTACATCTACAGACTTGCCTTATAATTATTGTCTTACATCTACTTGTCATACATCTACAGTCTTGCCTTATAATTATTGTCCTACATCTACTTGTCTTACATCTACAGTCTTGCCTTATAATTATTGTCTTACATCTACTTGTCTTACATCTACAGACTTGCCTTATAATTATTGTCTTACATTTACTTGTCTTACATCTACAGTCTTGCCTTATAATTATTGTCTTACATCTACTTGTCTTACATCTACAGTCTTGCCTTATAATTATTGTCTTACATTTACTTGTCTTACATCTACAGTCTTGCCTTATAATTATTGTCTTACATCTACTTGTCTTACATCTACAGACTTGCCTTATAATTATTGTCTTACATTTACTTGTCTTACATCTACAGTCTTGCCTTATAATTATTGTCTTACATCTACTTGTCTTACATCTACAGACTTGCCTTATAATTATTGTCTTACATTTACTTGTCTTACATCTACAGTCTTGCCTTATGATTATTGTCCTACATTTACTTGTCTTACGTGTACTTGTTTTATATTTACTTAGAATTACTTGAGTTACATTTACCTATCTTAAATGTGTCTGTCTTTCTCTTTCTCTCTCTCTCTCTCCCTCCCCTTTTCTTAAACTTTCTAACTTGTCGTAAATCTACTTATTTGCTTTTCTTACATACGCTTATTTTAAATTTAGTTGGCTTAAATTAGTTGTCTTAGAATTACTTGTCTGACTTTACTTACGTTTACATGTTTTACTTACACTTGTCTTACAATTACTTGTCTACAGTGACCTATCTGACACTTTCTTACTTCTCTTACATTCATTTGTCCTTCCGTTGTTTGTCTTACTTTTGTTTGTGTTTCACATACTTACTGTGCTATGTACACAATAGCTTTTTCATTCAGTCCATGCCGCTAACAAATGTCGTATTTGAATATGGTGTCTACGGTATTTCATACCTTCGCATGTTTGTTATGGCGCGTACGTGTGTGTGTGTGTGTGTGTGTGTGTGTGTGTGTGTGTGTGTGTGTGTGTGTGTGTGTGTGGGTGTGTCTATCTGTCTTTATTGCGCTGTACTATTTCACGCTGAAAGTTAATTGACTATAACAATTAGGTCACCTTGTATTTATTTATTTATTTATATTTCTGAGGCCAAACGGAATTGTTTTTTTTTTTTTTTCAAATTTCTTAGGCCATCTTTCACACTCGCTCGCGCGCGCGCGCACACACACACACACACACAATTTGTATTTGTCCACTAAATGTTATGTAGACTAATCGCTGACAGGCGCTGTTACTGCACCTCGGCCCGAATGTGTGTTACAGTCATCGTGTAAGTGGATTTGATCAGTTCTAGAATTGTCGAAAAAGACTTGAAAGTAAAGGGGCTCTTCGAGTGGGTTCCGCGGTCACATTTGGACGGAGGAAGGGAGGAAAAGGGCCAGGAGGGGCGGAAAGGGGGGGGGGGGCCTGGGAGAACATACCCATGTCTCCCAATAAACAACACTAGCTAGGAATTCCATGACATCAGGTGTGCTAGGTCGAAAAGCGCAGGTACCCAGCTCTAACACAATATACCAACTGTCGTTTACGCAGAAAAAACAGAGTAGTAGTAGGAGTCCAATGGAATATTTATGTATTGAAATATTCTCTGTTATGAAATTATCAACATGACTCAGTTTTAAAGTACCCCATATATATTATGTTTCAGAGTCAGCTACGATAGTCTTAGTAATTTATGACAAGCATTTATTTGCTGTAACATTCATTAACTTGTTATCTCATATATTTACATGTTCAGACATTCATTTACTTTGACGCACCATACATTTACTTGTTCTGTCACACATTTACTTGGTCTGTCTGTTGTAATAGCTGTTGCATCAATAATTTAACAGGCACAAACATTTAATTCTCTTACATTTACTTGTCTGAAATATACTTGTTTTACTTTAAAGTGTCTTCCAGGTTGTGATCCTTCATGTACTTGTCTTACATGTACTTTTCTTACATGCACGTGTCTTACATGTACGTGTCTTACATGTACTTGTCTTACATGTACGTGTGTTTTACATGTACGTGCCTTACATTTACTTGACTTACACTTACGTGTCTTACATGTACTTGTCTTACATGTACTTGTCTTACATGTACTTTTCTTACATGTACTTGTCTTACATGTACTTGTCTTACATGTACTTGTCTTACATGTACTTGTCTTACCTGTACTTATCTCACATTTACTAGTCTTATATTTCCTCTTTCTTTTTCTACTGCCTTTTATTGCCCAGATGAGACATAGGCCTTCGAGGCACTTACACCAAGTTGTTCTGTCATTTGCACTTCATCCTGTGTACTACCAATCTCTGTAACTCCACTCTCTAGTTCCCTCCTCTACGTTTTTGTTGTTATTTTTGTTGTTATATTTGTTGTTGTTATTTGTTGTTTGCATTTGTTTCTCTGTCCCGGTGTGTTCCAGTTCTTTTTTTTTTTTTTTACGTATCCAGAAACCATGAGTTGTAAACCCTTTGGCTCGGTACTATGAATATCGCAACCCTTCGGCCTTGATTCCATTATAGGTACCGTTAATCTGGGAGAAATGTGGCTTTTCTGCCTACCCCCGGGAGTGAACCCGGACCACAAGGAGTTCGTCACCCGGCCGCCGTGAAGTGTTCCAGTTCAAAGACAATGTCTCGTATTTATATTGTTCTCAGGTTTTCTCGACGTGTGTCCTATCCAACCACAGCGTCTTTTCCTCATCTCTTGGTCCACTAGAATTTGTCTAGTTCTCTCCCAAAGATTAGTGATTCTATAATACAATTTAATTCCCTCTATTGTGCGTAGGGCGTAATGCTGACCTCATTAACCACGGAGTGCTGATGGTCTATAAAAATATGGCCGCTCTTCCCATATGCCCGATACGCCTAACGGCGTGGAAAGCAATCTTTACTTTTTTTTTTTTTTATTGTTGTGCGTAAATGAGTGCATGTAGTTTATTAAAAATTGTGTTAGTTGTTCCCGCCTGTTTTCGCTCCATACATCAGTACTGATTTGACGTCGAAATTAATCATTTTAAGTATTAGTTATTTTTTTTTTTTTTTTGCCCTCCACAAATTTCCTAGTGCTTTGAAAGTTCCTCTTACTTTGCGTATTCGTACTTTAAGTCCCACATTTACCGGTCTTATATTTACTTGTATTATATACCATTGTCTTATATGTAACTGTTTTACATGTCATTGTCTTACATGTAATTGTCTTACAGTTAATCGTCCTACATATATCTGTCGTTTTACTTTTAATTGTCTTTCACATAACTGTCTTAAATGTACTTGTCTTACTTTTAATTGTCTTGCGTTTAATTATACTACATTTACTTGTCTAAAATTTAATTGTCTTACTTTTACTTATCTTAGTTTTCCATGTCTTGCATATTCTTTTCTTGCACTCTATTACCTTACATTTAATTGTCTTTCAAGTACCAGCCTTATCTTCACTTGTCTTAATGTTAATTATCTTACTTTTATTACTTTTCCTAATTTTGATTTCATTCATTTAATTGTACATATGCAACTGCACCGTAATTGGACAAACATAAGCCTGTTTATTTGTGTTGTTCACATTTTGAACTGTTTTGCCATTCTATGAGTTATCCTCCTTCTCATCCGTCTTTGATTGGCCCCCCCCCCCCCCTTTCCGCACCCCCTCCCTCCCGACCTCTTTGACTGAACCATTGGTGTAAACTCTCATTCTGCTCTGTTGTGGACAAAATCAGTTGAGACATTACAAGAAGGATTGATTCAAACCATCGAGCTGAATACTGTAAGTTACATAGCAATGATTTGTTACAGAACAATGCAAGAAAAGTATGTAGTTTTTGAAGTCACAATGAATGCCTAGTGAGTTGCTCGGTACTCCAGAGTTAAGCGTCTTGGCCCCCACCCCACAGTCATTCTTTCATAATTTTTTTTTTTTTATTATTATCGCCATCAATATTACACACTTAAACTAGGCAAGGGCCTGTTGAAAGCACACATCCCACCCTTTTTTTCAGATTTCTCCGCACCGTGTCATCGTTCTTTTAGTAGAAGAGCCTGCCTCTGTCTTGTCTGCGTGTTTGTTTCTCTTGTGAACGTTTCCACAGTTGGTTGGATTTTGTGACTATTGTATTGTATGGGATGACGTAGCTAACCTCAAGCAAGCTGTACCCCTAGCCGCCTCTTACGACATGCAGTGTTACTATTACTTGCTTCTTTGCCCGAGCAACACAAAGACGATTACTATTTTATTTTCATGATGATGATTACTAACAGTACTAGGAGGCTGCATTTTCTCGAGGCAAGGTGTCCGCCTCGAGTGCTAGAGGTTCCGGGGTCAATTCACGGTGAGGGCTGGGACTTTTTCACGTGGATTTGGACTTCTAATATTTCCCCTGGTCTCTGGGTAGTGAGATCAGACGCCCGTGTATATTGTTGCGCACTTAAAAAATCCCATGGCAGTTGGAAATCGAAAAAAGTCGTCTAACGACGCTCGCCGGGCAAAATGTAGAGTTTAAAATCTACCCAAAGTATTTCAGGATCCTCGCCGGTGCTACGGAGCCTGTGCACTGTGCTGAGCTTCTTCGAACTCAGACTTGAGTTAGAAGAAAAACAGAGCACTTATGGGTTACTATCCGTGTGCCATGATGTTGATCCGTTGCTCAAACCTCAAACCTGTTTTGCTTACATACAGCGACCCCATCATACAAAGGCAACAGAACTTTCCGATTGCTTCAACTCAGCGGGATTCTTTTTTTCTGCCGGAAAAAAAGGTGCCGGTACTCACCTCAAATTGCCTATAAAGGTGCCACTACTCATTAACAAGTGTCTAGTAAAGAAGTGATGGAAAAACATACCCCCCCCCCCCTCACCCCCCCCCCCCCCCCCCCCCCCAAAAAAAAAAAAACGGTGCTGGTTCCGCAAAATTTTCAAAAGAAAAAAGCACTGCGCCAATCAACATTCTTATGCCATTATTAAAAATCTGACATTAAAAAATAAAAAAACAAGAGTACATTAAAGTTGGATCTTTCTGTCCCTAATAGTGCATCGGTTAGGTAGGTAGGTAGATAGTTGTACCCCACCATGACATCACACAAGCAATAAACAGCCGGTGACACAAAGTGCCAACACGCGGACGATGATCACCCGTGAAGAGGCCCAAAAACCCCTTTTAGCGGTGAGGCCATATATTTATGGCTGGGCTATATTCAGAGCTCCCGGCTAAAGCCAATCTGGGACTTAAATAACAACAAATTGCATACCGCACTAAGACGACATAGTATATAAAATCGTGATATAATCGTTTTGTGTGAATAGCAAACATTACTCAATTACTCATTATAATCTGTTACTTGTTTGCATTTGGTCAGAGAATGCTCAAGAAATCTGGCATTCCCAGTTGCCTTTATGAAATTTTATACCTGTAAATTCTTTTTTATCGTGGTTTTTTTTCTCTCTGCCTAAGCAACTACTGCTTAAATTAAAGTACTGGAAGTGACAAACTTAATAAGCAAAGAAAACCGTTTTTAATTACCAGCATTCCTTTGAAGTCGGAGTACATCTGCCTGAGAGGTAAGGAACCAAAAGTCTGCGTACAGACTAGCCGGATCTGTAAAACAGATGTGCACTTAAAACTCAGATTCTGAAACAGGGTTGTCAGTCCAGAAGTGGACAAACAACCAGAACTTTCCACCAGAGTTTACAGCCGGAGAATACTAAGAAGTCTGTGTAAAGCAGAGCAAAAGCCTGTGAACGCGAAGAAGAAGCGACGAAGAAGAAGAAGATGAAAAAGAAAATAGTTAAGCTGAGTTGAGTCAAGAATTGACATAACAGCACTCGGGGCATTCCCATGCATGCTCACTCCGCATCTTTAGCAGCCAACGCAGAGTTCCAATACTGATGGTGCTGGTCACAATCTGGTGTCCGTCTTGCCTTTATTCTGAGCCGGCCAGACCCTCTGGTTACACCCAGGTACCTCATTCTCTTCAGGCCATACAAATCTTGATTTTCTACTGCTTCTGTTGCTTATTCCCAGAAGGCCTTGACCACGTCTGCCTAGAAAAGAAAAAAAAAAATAAAATAACACAACAAAGATTTTTTTTTTTAACTTATTCAGTCTATGATGTTAACTATCATTTAATTATGTCTGTTTACTTACGGTGGCGAGTATAATTTCTGTTTGTTTTACCTACGAGACTGTTTGTTGGAGGTGGCTGCCTGGTCTCGAGGCATGGTGTCCGCCTCGAGTGCTAGAAGTTCTGGGTTCAAAGACCAGTAAGGGATGTGATTTTTCAGGTGGACTTGGACTTCCTGTTAATTCCCCTGGTCTCTGGGTAGTTAGATCGGACGCCCGTGTTCACTGTAATGTAATGGAATGTAAAGGACCCTTTTCCACGCCTTTAGGCGTAAAGGGTATATAGGGCTAGACCTATATTTTATAGACCTATTGGCACAAGATGGGTGATGTGGTTAGCAT